GTTAGTTTCTAACCCCGGTTTGAATCCTTGTGAGTGACTGCTCTCTTCCTTTGCTACAAGTGCGTTTTCTGCTTCAGCATTGGTTGCAAATGTTGTCTGGGCCGGCTAACTAGCTAACTACAGTGGTAACCGAGCATTACTTCCAAGAGTTAGTTAACACTAGCTAACCGCGTTACATTGTGGGGTTACAGGTTTTGTTAGAAAAAGCGCCATCAGGACTAACACATCTGCTGTGAAGTACTTTCAGTAGGTCTTGGATGAGATTTCAGGCTAACTTTAGCACATTAGCTCTGTCCTGCTCTTTAATGGACTGTAAGATTACACTCCAGCAACGTTACATGAGATGGCATGTCTTTATTTACATGTTTTCTTCATAAATCATTGTCTGGTGGGGATGCTGACCTTTTGCCTTTGATTTATAACTGGCATCCATCTTTTAGCATGATATCCTGTATGTAGCCAGAAATAGCCGGAAATTTATATTCAAAGAGCTAACAATAATTAGCTAGTTAGCTAGCTTGCTACGGCTGATAAAATCTGCCAGCCATAGTTGTCATTTCAGCCACAGTTGTTTGCTAGAAAGGTTAAATCTGCTTTTGTCTACCTCTGTGTGAAATTAAGAACCAATTGTTTCAAAAGTTGCCGGGAATTTCAAGTGGTAAATCTGCCATCACTGGCATTGTAAATTGCATAAAGTTAAATTGGAGAAGAGGAGAAGAAGAGTAGCAAAAGGACACTGGGTCAAAAAATAAAGATAAGGATGGGACAGAAAATAGCACTATCGTATACACAATGTATGGTTGGCATTAATGCAAACCTCTAAGGACTCATTATGGTAACAGAGCAGTTACTGTCAAATAGCACCAGTGAGGTTAACAGAGACCCTGAGGGGTGAATTAACATCAAACAAAAGCTAAATTCTTTTAGCTGTGTCCTCATGGGACAAACGACTCTAACGCACAACATCTTCACCTCCCCCCTGAACTATATGTCATTGTTTAAAAAACAAACAAACTGACTTTTACTGTCTGACAGTGTGTCATGGTTCCCTGCTGGTGTATACACACACTGATGACATCCAATATTCATTCTTAACTGCTCCATCCCCTGCCTATTTGGGAGGTCGTATAAGTTGGTGAAGCTTCCTTTAATGCGTGCACGAGAACGCAAATACTGGAAGTAGCCTGACACTTGTTACAAATGTTAGTCTGAGTGCTGGCATACTGGCTGGGCCATTAACTGGGAGGAAGTCAACTTGATGTCCACGCACTTACAGGAAAGGGGCAATCTGCTTTACTTTTCCTGTCTCTCTGTTTTTGTCTGCATAGTGCATGTGTGCGCTTCATTCACACAAACACACAATCATTTATTCCCTACCCCTTAATTCTGCATGCCTAAACATACCCTCAATAAGAAAACAAACCTGATCTTAACACCCCTGTGCCCAAGGAGGTGGTTACCATGTTTAAAAGCAAAATGTTTTCCATTTAAATACACTTTGAAAGAACAATATTGTCACTATATAGGATTTTGCATCCTGTCCGCATGCACAAACCCACACACACACACACACACACACACACACACACACACACACCCTTGAACAAATGCTGAGGTAAAGTAACCTAGCAACAGTCTGCCAGACTCAACAGGTTTTGCATAGAGGGAGGAGAGGACACAAACAATAAACAGAACTGGAAATGACAATGTCCTCTCTGCCGTCTATGGCAGCTTTATCTACACCGGCTGATGGCTGGCAGAATATGTTGCAGGGTAAGACAAAAGAACTGACATGAAACTTCATGTTTCATGCTGCCTGGATATTACAGTATATCTGAAATAATTTGGCTCTATTTCACAACAAAGTTTCAATTTGAAAAACTCTTAACAGCTAAGTGATATATTCCTTATTATCACAACATTGTATGTAGGTGTGTTTATCACAGACTTTTAATCATTGCTGCATTTCAACATAATATGGCTATAACCAAATAATGCTGTCAAACAGTAACTGTCACCAAAACAGGGTATGGAAAAATAACTTTGTCAAGATTATACAAATAGCAATTCAAATAGCAATTTAAGCAGCAAAACTTAAAACTGTTGTTAGAAACTTGACAGGACAGATAGAGGAAACTCTCCATAAAGAAATAGAATTAAACTTTTAGCTTCTGAAATATTTTTGGACAACTCTGATAGCTGCTTTACTCAGTTTCACTGTTTAAATCTGGACTGTGTGTGAGACCTTTTGGTTGTGTAGAATAACACAGAACATTAATTAACATTAGATCCTGACCGATCCTGTTGTGATTTAAATAATCTATGATGTTACGCTGGTGTACGTCGTGCCTAAATGCGCAGTGTCTCTTAATGCGGAGACGCTTCACCCCATTTTCACTGACTCGCAATCCACCTGTTATTGATCAGAATGTAAATTTTTGTGAATTATGTGAATGTGAATGTTCATATTCAGTGATAGTTTTGTCATCAACATTTAAATTTTGTTGTAATATGAGGTGCTTTCCATTTATGCAGATGGATGGGCGGGGGTTGGACAACCATTGTCTGGGGGTTTGGTTAAATGCATTTTGGTATTACATAGGAGAGCACCCACAAGTCAGATGTACTAGCTACACTCAAAATAATTGATGAAATTCAGACTTAAGTGGAATAAGTGGAAACGAGGGTGGGATCCTCCTGTAAGCACATACTGTAGACAGCCTGGTGGACAATGAGGGTAGATGACAGTGACAGAAGTACAAAAAAAAAAAAAAAAAAACAAGGCATGGTACAGAGCGGGTATGGAAAAGCCCAGCATGGGAGCTGTCATGGCCGGTTAAGTGAACAGGCAGCCCTGCAGGAGCTTGGTTATCTGTCTACTGCAGAAAGCCAACCAGTAGGGGGGGGCACACTGCTCTGAGGCAGGACCATAGACTGAGGACACACACTGAGGGAAAGCTTTTTATCATGCCGGTGTGTTCCATGGACAATCTCAAACTAGCAAGTCTTTTAATCCATACATTATCAGTTTCATCTTTTCAATTACTTATTTACAACTTCCAATCTTTCCCTTTATCATATTTCTTTCACCCCGTATCGGCTTTTAATCATGTGGCGCTGCTGGGTTCTTCGTTAATCCATTTATGACGCCTTGATTTTCATTTACTGTTTAAAAGTGCTATACAATTAAAGTTGTGTATACCGTTTTCAAAAGCAGTTCAGAAAAGTTAGTAGAATAGATTTTGTATATTCTTTCAGAAATAAATTTTACACCAAAGCCTCTAATTACAGAGAACGAGATTTGATGCAAATCAACATTAATGAGCCAAAATGATACATTAGGAATAGATACAGCGGGAACGCCTCATTACCGTATTGATTTTCAGAGAATCTTCAGAGGGCCATTTGTCATGTTAGTCTAATAAATGGTTGTCAGGTGACCTGCCCTTCCTTCCTGCTCGACAGGTGCCAGAAATACTTAATAAGCACGTGTCATTGTTAATGATCATATGTGAGACAATGTAATCTGGGGCCATTACTCACAAGGGTGTGCTACAGTAGAGCTCAGAGCTGCCTGTGATGGAAGCGGCATTCATAAAAAAACAGTACTCATCAGGATAAAGACATTATCATTAATCAAGACTGTTCTGATTGCCCTGACTCCCCTCTTGGTAAATTATAGTATATAGTATAATAGTTGAGAAAAAAGAAACAATGACAGTGAATAACCATTTAGCAGTCAAAGTGTGTTTATGTATGCAGCATACTTGAATAAAGTTTAGGAAAAAAAACACTTACACACAGGCACAGGGTTGTCTTTGGTCATGTGCTGGTGGTTCATGCTTTTTCTTAATTAATAATGTTTTTCATTTCTACACTCAATATTTTTACTGATGTTTTGTCATCAATACCCTTCACCTACAAATATAATATACTCTTGCCGAGTTAGAGTCAGTTCTGCATAATCGCAGAGCAGCCGACCCCCACACTAAACTCCTATAACAGCCTGCATGTTTAACCTGTAAGACCCACGTTTCGTCTTTGTTCAGCACCTGTGATGTGAAACCATCTAATTTCCACACAGTCAGAGAAAATAAAAGCGAGCGACCTGGTCACGGTTTGGTTTTGGTTATATTCTCAGTCACACTGGACGGAGGAGGCTGTGCCGGCGTCTGGTTCAGAAGTAGTTTAGCTGCCTTCACCAGAGCTGAGAGCATCAGAGCACAGAACAGAAACGAGCCGCGCTGCCTTCTGTCCAGTGTTTAGCGCCTAACTGACCGGTGACTCGAATCATCAACCTTTAGGGGGAAGTCCTACTATGCGATATACGTCCGGATCGGCCTGATTCAGCTCAGCAGATGACACATATTGATCAATCACAAGCATTAATTAATTATGGAATTAATCAGAGCAGCATGTCACATAGTGGAATTTAGAGAGCCGGACGGCTTAGTCAGTCACAGTCAGGTGGGAATGTGAGCAGTAAAAGCCACCACTGCACTGCTGGTCAGACACCAAGTAACACCTGCTGACCTGACTGATATCATGTGACTGAGTCTAATGAGCCTTAGGAACTATTATATCTTATTAGACTCATTGTTTGACTGGTTTTTGAAATGAAAATCTTCACACAGTGCTGTCAGGAGTCAGTAATTTAGATTTAGGAATTATTTCACGTTTACTTAATTAACCTAGAAGGAGGAAAGGGCAATGATGTTCAAGGCTTGTTCAAAAGAGGGAAAGAGAAGATCCTTATTTACTGTATTGTTAATGTGTACTGTTATTCTCTCAATAAAAACATGTAAAAAAAATATATATATAAAACACAGAGCATCCTGCAAGTTCAGTTGTACTATGACAGCAAAATTGATGTCCCTCTCCATGGCCAAAGGTCTTCTATCTGTCTCTATTTTGGCCCCTAAAGGGAAAAAGGCAGAAAAAAATTTATTCTCTGTGTATATGAATGAAACAAGCTAGTATGCTCAGTATTGAATCCGTACCTCATGCCCTCTGTGGACTTGTTCTGGTAATTGCAGTGGAGCTGCGGCGTGCCCAGCATTGCTTCAGTGAAGACGGCCAGGAAGCCCAGGGTCTCCACGAACAGCGCAGAGTCCAGAAAGAGGTAGGTGATGTACGCCGCCACCAGCGTGAAGGCCAGCACGCACTGCAAGTAGTCCACGAACTGACTCCACAACCAGAAGTAGTTCCAGTCAAAGTCTAAGAAGTGCACAACATAGGGAAATCACAAATGGAAAACAAATGAATATTTTTTAACAACTAGCCACTCAAGGGAGTCGGATATCTACCAGCTGGCCAATACTGGCACAGTAACAGATAATGCCCTTGATGTGCACTGTTCCTGTAAAAATAAACACAGTAAAGCAAAGCAGTTCTAAAAAAGAGACACGCAACAGTAATGCTGTTCCTGGTTGAGACAAAAAGTACTTTTCCAGACACATCACAGTGTTAAAGTTCCTTCCGAATTAAAAAGTAAAATGTCTATAGTGTCCCCCAGAGGATGCAATATTTGATATAAACTTTATATTAGAAAACAATACGGCAAAATTTTTAATTTCGAGATCGAGATGAGACTAGATTTTAGCACTATTTTAATAAATCTTTAGTGCAGAATTATATGAAAAATTTGAGCATTGAACACTTTATTTACTGCATTCTGATGAAGTATTTATTTTGTTTATTTATGTAAAGAAAAGCACAAAATTCAAGTGGCAGATGACAATTCACAATCTATAGCCTAACAGAATCTAAGTCGGTGCTGCTCTCAGATCTGTTTCTTCAGTAGCTCAGCTTATTTAATATCATCCCTGCTGAGTCATGATTTAGTCTTCCCTCCTGTTTATGTCTTTGTTTGGGAAAATAACCTCTTGAAATGTGCATGTGGCACCTTTTCACCTCAATGAGAAATTAATTCATTTTAATTCAGTTAGAAACTTCTGGACTTTAATAGCTTCTGTGTTTCAGCAGGTTTTCTGCTCATGTTCAAAACTTTCTGCCCATTCAGAATATCTCCCACATAAGCTATCTGTGTTCTCTGACATGTCCAGAGAAAAGATATATTGTTAAGTGAAACACTTGTGATTAGGCAGAAATCTCACAACAAATGCACACGTTAACTTCAGCAGCTCCGATAAAGTGCAGCTCACAGTTCCAAACAGAGCAAGGCTGCGCCTCAGTCTTTAGATGTTTATGTTGCAAAACTCAGCTACGTTACCGCTCGACAAAGTTTTCTGGACTCAGAGCGAGTCTAATCTTGCGAGATCTCATGGCACAAGATCTCGTCACACCCCTAGCAGAAGAGGTTATTAATACTACTTCAGTGCCATTCCCTAATGACTTTACATGTTGGTGGCAGTGTATGAAACTCTTACTTTCACAACACATTAAACTGTGGTTCCAATTTCAGGTTAATTAGTCAGCTGTGAGACACTTCGACACTCTTTGGTACTTGCACGCAATCAGATTCCACCACTCTCCTCACTTCTCGTTTTCAAGCATCGGAGGACATAATTATCTACTGATCTCGTTTGTTCTTATTTGAGCTGTGTGTAGTTAGTAAAAGGAAGCAAAAACTCTACTATTTTTACCAACTTCACACTTGAGCTGTGAAGTTTCACACGACTCCCACAATCCCCTTCTCAGAAAAACTATATGTCACTGCCACAAAAAAAGGCCATCTGAACTACGCACGATCTCATTCTCATTCAGACTCTTGCAAAACATACGCTTTTAACTTCAGGGTCTTGTGGGAGGAGGCTTTACGAGTAAGAATGAAGGTGGCGAAAAGCTCTGTGGAGGGTGATAGCCGAGGTTAGGTAGTACGGTAGTAATGGGCTGAGTGGGAATCTGGACACTGACGAATTAACGATTTAAACCCTGTTTTCTGCCCTAACACCTCTCGTGTGTTCTTTCTCTAAGGAAATGATTAGATAGCGATTCTGAGCACACCAACGCGGGCTTTCTGCAATAAGCAACAGAGCCAATACTTATCATCCTGTGATAATATTCTCAAGGTTGCACAGCATTGATGGCCTCAGGTATCTGATGAAGGAGCAAGTACAATAAGCAAAACATTTTATCCTTGAATTTCTCTGATGCTAAAACACATTCAACATATCTTTATGGTGTGAGGGCACTGAGAAAAGTACACATGTAGCTGCCGATTTAATGTGTGAGCAGAAAACACTGAAAGAGTTTATCATGAATATCTGAATCATGGCTGAGAGCGAAAGATGTTTCTGCACTGCTTTATCTTAAATGGGATTTCTGCATGCCTCTAATGCAATAGAGCTGATTTGTTTAATCACATTTAAATGAGGCTCTCTCCATCAAAGAAGCACATCTAAACACTTTAAGGAGGCCGTCTGTATAGGCCTGCAAAGGCCTCCAGAGAAGGTCCTGTACAGCAGATAAAAGCAAAACAGGGTATTGTCTGGAATAACTTTACCACAAAATATCAAACTGAATAAAACAAAACTGCTATATTTCAAGACGATAAAATCAGAAGTGAAACAACACAAGCGTTTATGACATTTGAGTTTGTGATTTTATGATATATTGTTTCATTAGAGAATTAACGGTGACATTTAGATGGCATTTCTACAAGAATACGCATGGCAGACACGTATGAGTGCAAGGCAGCCCGGCTTTGCAATATTGAGCCAATCCTATTGTTCCTTTCTGACAGACAAGTTAAACAAATCCCATAAATGTAACCAAATAAAGCAACTCAAACCAGGTCGCAGCCTTCTGTCAGTCTACCACACACTCCTACCACACACTCCATACACCAAGAGTCACCATGGCAAAGGCATACCCCTATGTAGGATGGCAACACAATGCAGTGTTGAACAAAGACAAGCTAACAATTCCTAAAAAGGTATAACTGTTTATACTGGTATTTCTGTTCTGAGTTTAATCACCACTAAGAATATCCTTTGAGAGCTGTTATGTGTACTGTAAGGCAGTGTTTATTCTGTAGGTGTTGTGGCTGCAGATGCCTGGTGTGGCTGTGGAGCCCTGCTGGCAGCAGAGGACTGTGAATCTGGGCCAACTAGCACCAGGCTGGTGTAGCCTGATAACAGCCAAACACTGAGGAAAGCTAGCAGGGGCCACAGAGCAGCGTTCAACACCAACCTGGCTGCTACAGGCATGCACAGCTTCACACTAAACTGAACATATGATATGGCTCCAAGTGATGATATGACTGGGCCCCAGGTTGGGTGGTAACAGACACACACACAACAGTAGTAGTTGGTGGAAGCCGTGGAAACATTTGCAGTGTTTTGTTACTGAGCTAACAGTATTTTCCACCATAGCAGACTTTTGGAGTAGAGACTAAGGCTAAACACAGTGTCACACGTGTGTTAACACATTTACTCGGTGTAACAGGCTCTTAAAGAAAGAGCTAAAAGCTAAAAGAAGTGTACTGGATTTATATTTATCAGGTGATAAATATAAGCACCTCTTTGCCAACATGTTAGCTGTAAAACTGTCTGTTAGCTTGTTTCTTCAGCACGTAGGCGGCTGTGTCATAGCTTTGAGCTTATAGGTTCTGAAATAAATAAAGTTGACAATTAAATATGATAATCCCTTTGGGATGCACTAGTTGCAATTAGGTCTTAAACATCCTGATCCTCAAAATTATACAAATAAATACATGCATGATGCTGATGATTGGGGTGTGTAGGTTATTTGCAAAGACTGTAAATGAGCGCTTTAAATACTAAATTTCCTTTTCAGTTCTTAAAATAAATAGATAGCGAACTTTCCTTCTAGGCTCTGAGGAGAGAGATAAGGCATGAAATTTCTCTGTGGTGAGATAAAATAAATTTTTTTCTTCAACTTGCAACTTCATTTGGTGGGCAGGGAGTCTTTCTTATGAACACCTTTGGCTCTAAACAAAAAAATGTTGTGATTATGACATGCTTTTCAATTATTTGCGCAGTCCTTGTCTCAGCCTCATGTTTTAGTAATTACACTCCTTCATGGCAGTGCTGTACTGTCACGATCTCTTAATCCTGTATGCGCAGACTTTAAAAAAAAATAAGGTTCACACAAACCTGCCTCCACTTCTCAGCAGCAGCAGCAGATGTAAAAACAACATCTTGTAGGCAGATCAGTGTGACACGCCACTTTACACTGACCACTATGGGGTGTTTATCACAGAACTGTACCTCAGCCATACCCTGCCATAAACCCTCTCTTGCTGTGCCACTTCTGTATCCCGGGGCATTCTCCTCTTCCTCCTCCTCCTCCTTCTCTATAATCCCTGCACTGTGTGGGAACAAACTGGAGCTGCATACAATAGACTCCCTGTGGTGGCAAAACGTCTTGTGCACAGCTCAGTTTGAAGTCCCACAGAGTTGTGGTGCATGTGTAGGTAGAGCTGGGTCAGAGTTGGAGATTTCTATCGCTTGTTTACCAACTGTTCCCTGCCAGCTTCAGTTAGGCCCTGGAAAAGTCTACGGAGGTAGCTGAAATAATGGCTTGCTGTCACTCAAAAGCAACCGTGGGAGAAGCAGGCACATTATTATGAAAGACAGCCCGGGAAATGGAACCTCAGATTTCACCAAGCTTCATTTTCTGAGATTTGAACAGGGAGCTATTTCTCAATGACTAATGGGCTTTCACTGGCAAGCCAAAGCACAGCAACGTGGCTGCACTGCCACCTAGACTACATGCCATGCTTCTTCCATCAAAAGATCCGTGGCTAAAAGTTAGGTCTCTACCTGCCCCTAGGGAGCGGCTAACTGCACCTACAGGATAAGGTGATTTATTCAAAGCTGACAAACCCAGTGCAGCTAGAGGTACAGGCCTTCCCATGGGACGAGGATGAGCAATGACCCACAACTAAACAATAAAAGGAAATGGAAATCTATTTTATTGCCATGTACCGCTGTAACATCATTAAGGCCAACATCTCTGTGGTACTGGATCACTCGATCATTGTGACAAATCTTCCTGATTCCTTTCTTAGCGAACAGCAAGCACAGGGATAGTGAACTTTTTCATGGTAAGAGTATCAACAAATTGCATCCCCTTTTAATTTATTTGTGGACGCTATTACAATAAAGTAGTTGGTGTCCAAATGTTTAAATTGTGAGTCTTTTAGATGTGCTTCAGAGCTCAGGAAGGGACATGGAGGAAAGGGTTTTAATGGGATGGAGGGCAAAAAACCCTCCCATTAGCGCTCCATCACAAACGCTTTGGATTCTGTTTGAGCTTGGCATCTATCACGAGGTACGTTTTAATGACAGCAGAACAGAAAGCTAATGTTTAGCAACATACATGTATTAAGACTCTTCATGGAAGAGGGCCTGCAATAGTTATTTATCCCTAACTTCATATTAATTATTTGGTGTGAATGGTTGTCTGTCCATGTGTCAGCCCTTTGACTGACCGCCGGCCTTTCCAGGGTGTACCCTGCCTCTTGCCCAGTGTCAGCTGGCATCAGCTTAAGCCCCCCCACGGTCCTACATGAGATAAGTGGGTTTAGCGTCTTTTTGTCTTTTTGCTTTAAAATCTTCATTTAACAATGTATTAATATGAAACAGCATAGCAATACAGAACCTTGGTTGGTGCATAGCTTGTTCACAACTGCACTCGGGTAACATTACTGCTTATCACTGTCCCCACTTGTATCCCAGTAAAACAACCAGACTTAGAGATCATATATAGGTCACATTTGATGACACACTTGTTGGATGTGTACGGAGCCCCTAAGGGATCATGGGGAAAAACAAACAAACAAAAAAAAGCTTTCCCCCTCCACTCAAAAATATTGTCCTCCAAGTCCACGTAGATGTGCTGACTGGAATATTTGCAAAGCTTTCAGAGATTTCCATACACAGACAGACATTATTACAGCTGAAATATCAAAACCTAATTTTAAGATTAAACTGAGCTGAGCGTGAGCGTGGTTTTGGTTGGTACAGGACTTTCAATTGTGGAACAGAACCCTGTTTGCTTGCGGACACAAATTCATTTATATGCTGCTGGAGATTTAGAAAAATCCAATCAGGCTTTCCTCTTTCAGGTCTTCACAATAATGAAAAGTAAAGTTTGACTCGGGTACACATCAGACAAAGAGAAACTTTCCCCACTGTCACCGTCAGAACTTTTTCTCCAAATATTTCATCTTATTTTTTCCTTCCAAAACCTTTTACCTCCACCTGAGTGATCACCAGCACATCTGATTCTGACACAGTCAAATGATCTGAACTTTTAATCTCCTTAAATGATTGCAGCAGGCAGTCATCTATATAAATCACACTGAGCATCTATTACACACCGGGACTTCTCCCCGTCTGAAAGATCAAACTACACGGCCTACAACAAAAGACATACTGTACAGCACAGAAGTGGCCAGTTGTGTGATTGTGAATGAGGCGCCACAGACAATCTTTGAACCTCTGTATGCCCTCAGTCACATAGTATTATCTCAGCTACCAAATAACACATTATTAAGTATGATGTCTCTACATAAAATGCTCACAGCCAATGAGATCTCTTATATCACAGCCTCATTTGGGCGTCCTAGAAAGTTCTATTCAAAGTCTGCAACACTGTGGGTTTCTTCTCGAGCACAAAAGTCCAGCTGTTTGATGGAAGTTCCTGGTGTGATAATGACACTGTGCAGCTATGAGAACATAAAGGGAACAAACGGAACAATCAGAGAAATGTGCAGGTTGAGAATTTGTCCTGCTGACTAAACAACACTATGGTGAGTCATTGCAGGAAGCCACAATGTGTAGCTGCTCCACCCGATGGCTGCACACTGACGCCAGTTTGGTGCTACATATTAAACTCTTAGCTCTCTATAATTTGCTTTTCCATTGCTGCATCTCTGATCCTATATCCATCTCACAGCCCCGACACTGACCTCAGATGCTCCAGGCCTCTAAGTGAAGATCTGTGTCTAACCAATCCCCAGCTCTGCTTCACTTTTTCCACTTCTCCCTCCCTCTACCTGGGTGTTTTCATGCTTCTACCAACAGCAGACTACAACATGCATTGCTTACCCTTGATATTTCCACTAACAGCTCAATGAGCAGGTGCAAACCCGCAAAGCTGCAATCAAAGAACATGGCTTTCTGTCACTTCTAATGATGCTTGGCAGAGCTCGCTGATCAATGACTTTTCATAAAGGCTTGGGCCACTGGCGCCGCAAAGCCAGCTTCATAATATGGAAAACACGTGGCACTGAAGACGACATCAGAAAGATCCCGCTCCTCCTCTGATGCCTGAAACAGACCAACAGGCTGAACCACAGAACGCCACAACTGCGGAGAAAGCTGTTTCTGCTCTCCTCAAAATTATTGAAAACATCCAACAAAAAGGCCACAATCTGGCACTTTAATACCAAGCATCCAGGGCGCTCCCAAGAAGAGAATGTGGAATATATTATAACAATCTGAGCCAGGAGTGTCCTGTGCCTTTTCACATCACACAAATATTGTTTCCTACTGCCATCTAGTGTCCAGACCAGGAACAACCGCCCATGTTGTCATAATTGCTTAGTGCATACTTATTGTATACAGTGTGCAGTATGAATGTGGTAAGGAACTGGGGTACATGTGACGTCTAGCATGTGTAAAACAGGAGCAGTTAAGCTTGGTGTGCAGCCTTGCAGAGGTTTCCTTTCAGTACAACTGACAAAGCAGATATTTAGACAAGTCACAGTAGGAAAAGCACAGGCGTAAATAAAATAGAATCATGACGGTTGAATTCACATTTAGCTGCTTCAGTTTCAGGGTCTTGGTGTTGTGCATTGTGTGCTCACTGGGATGTTTGAATCAAGTGCAGCCATCCTTAATGTTACACCTGTGTTTCCTCCAATGACAAGTCAAGATGTCTGCTGGGAAAAAGGGCCTGTGAGCAGCTGATGGAGAACACATCTGACTTCAGTGATTGGGTGTGTCCCACCATTTTGAAAGATTGAACTCATAGTGAGCAGTACAGTAGCAGATTTCTGCCCTATGTGCGGTTTGTTTTTGTTTTGTTTTTACCTGCGCTACTAAATGTGAATTTGCCGAAGCATTAAATCTGGTGTTACCCTAGACTTTCCTTACTCTGAACAAATCCCTTAAAACCAACAACAAATTAGTCTGTCTCAAGGTACTTCCTTCCTTCTCTACCCTGTCTGCTGTGCCACTTAGCTCCAAGCCCATTTGTTCCTACTGAAGATTTAAATCACAAAAAATGCTGCGTTTTCAAAAGTTACTCAAACAGGAGGAATAAAATCATTTGTTGGGGACTATTTTCAGTTGTGGATTAAAACACATTTTTCTGCACCAGCGTGTATTGGGGCAGCATGTCGGTATGTGTGGGGTTGAGTCCAAAAACTACAGTGTGTGTGTTACCCAGCGCAACAGTGTGGCTCACTGCCGTGTTTAAATATTTTTTGGACAACAGTGGCACAGAGGAACAAACCTTATCGGACCATTCTTGTTTGTAGGATCAATTCCTTGGTGGTTTTGTTGACAAAATAGAGACCATCACCAGCCTTATCTTTAAATCAGTCGTCAGCAATTGTTATGTTTAAACCTCCCCTCTGACAACATGTGTGCTAAGCTGACACTAGCTGTGTGCAACTGTGTCAGCTTAGCACGTCCCACCCCACAGATTTCTTGACATATCATAATACAGTGAAAAGGCCACTGTGCTGAAACCAAGTGTAGTTCAGAGAACAATTGTAAAAAGCCAGTCAGAAAACAACATTGATTAAGAGTCATTAGCACTTTGCATTAATCAGCCATTAAAAAGACATGCTTTACATTCACGTTTCAGGGCAGGGTCAGTCAACATGCACCAGTTTAGGGGCCTTAAAAACACACAAAAACACATTTGGTTTGAGAGCTAATATCAAACAATCATATCAAACCGCAAAAACAAAAGCATAAAGTTAAAAATATTAGAACTAAAAGATGTCAGTAGGTGGCTTAAAATGTTACTATCAACTTCCTGTAAATCGCTGATAACTACTAATAACTAGTCTATGTGAGTTCAGCTTTTGAGTTCTCATCAGTTCATGTAAGTGAAACCACAAATGACACATGCAAAATCACATTCACACAGGTTTTTCAATGAACGCTGAGCCTTCATCGGCACTGAGGTTGTGGAGTGCAGCATGCATTGAAAGCATCAAGGAAGTGGCTACAACAAGGCACACAGTAAACCAGTTCCATGAATCAAACGTAGAGGCAACACTGGGACTACATGCGAGTGAAATGGGCTGAAGCTCCACCCAAGTGTGTGGTGAATGGTGTTAGCCATCGGTTAGTGTCGGCCCGGGCTGGGGGGGGGAGCCACACGGGGTGATCATGCACGACACACAGAGGTGGAGAGGCAGATGAACTACAACTGATGTTTCATGGCAGACACAGTGAGTTCTGTACATACCCAGAAAGAGCCTCTTAGGGATTCTGATCTCCTCGTCCTTACTGTCTGTCGCTACAGACACAAAGGAACAAACAAAAACAACAAAAAAAAAGAGCTTGGTTTTGTTCATTTCTTTTTTAAGTTACTCAACTTGGGCGTGACTTTGTAACACTGTGTGACAGTTGGTCAGACATTTCAGGTCATCGTGAGCAATTGGTGACGCTGCAAAACTATGGCTTGTCAGATTCTCTGGTTAGTTAGATAACAGATTACAGAGTTCTATAAACACATTTTCTCAATAAGCTTCTTACTACGTGTGATGTGGTCCTACATGAAGACACCGAGTTAGAACAGTTTAGGTTATTTCAGATGAGAGATTTCTGTATTTGTGGTTTTGACTTGATGAAGCGGATTAGCTTAAGTTGTCAAGGGTGACAGTCTTAAAAGTTAACCTTTGATTGTTGCTTATGAAGGCCTTCTGAAAACCAAGTTTTCAGGGCAAATATAGTTCTACATTTTGGAAAGACATGCAATGACGCCTGGCAACTTGACTTCAAGAAGTTACTGCTCCCGGTCAAATCATAGTCCTAAACATAAGCCCTGTAATCTACAACTTTTTACACTCGATTAAACAAACAAGATATAACGTGATAATTAGCCTCGTGAGCTTTAGAGGTGATGGTGGGCAGAATTTGTTACCTTCGGACAGCTCTTTGGCCCTGCTTTCATGGTGGTTCTCATCATGTGCCTTTACACCAGCTAAATTGGATTTAATTTTTACAAATCATTAACAAAACAGGCGATTGAAGTAAACAAGAATCAGGTTAGCAAAATAGCCTCACTAGCATCAGAACACTTTACGTTTGTTTACGTCGCCAAATGAATCACATTCTTTCAATGTTAGGTCCGCTTAAGATCCACGACCCCCCTGAAGAGGCTCTACGCCTCCCCAGGGGGGCTCGCTGCCCAGTTTGAGAAACGCTAAGCTAACATGCAGCTAGCTGAAGCCGTATATTTCCATACAGATGCAAGAGTGGTAACAATCTTGTCATCTAAAGCTCAGTAAGAAAGCGATTAAGCATATTTGTACTATACTGCCTTTAAGTTGAGCTTTCCCAGCTCAACTTTCTGCAACTTTTGAAATGTCTGACCAAGGTTGTGTCATTATTCCACTGACAAAAAGGTATGCCGTCATAACTGGTTTGTACAAAATGCATACAACAGGACATGTAAAGACCGACCCTGTATAATATACAATATATCTAGAAAATGACTCTCTTTTTAATGCTGGACTTTAACACATGGACTGGCTCCAGGTTTTCCTCTTTAAATGGACGCTACTGTGTTTCAGTGCTTTCCATACTGCATTCCAGAGATTTTGTTCGGCTAATCTGTATTTTGTCATCTGACACTGAGGCAACAGACATTATGACTGGTTATTCAAGTGTCTATCTTCAGACTGCCACAGGGATAGGAGGCATAGCAGGAGCATACAGTACGCCTAAATGGGAAACTCCAGCACTGCATTCAACACGTGATACAGGCTTTAAAACGGACATGACTTATAAAACAAAAGGCCTGTTCCATGTCCATTTGTGTACTAAAGGATGAACATAAAAAAAACAACAACAAAAAAACAGGATCCAGTGTGTCAGCATGTAGCGTACAGAGTAACTTTACAGGGCTTGTTAGGAAGCTACTGTGGGTTTCACTTTATTTCAAAGTGCGGTAAGCTTTGAACTGTGTGGACATTTTGGATTTTTTCCCTTCTCTCTCATTTACATCTTAGGAGCACATAACAATCAGATAAGATTTGGATCAATCATTAATATTTGTATGTTTGTATTGTAAGTATTAGCATTAACAGAATAGTAAAAAAGTGTTTACTAAATTTACTACCTCTACTGTTAGAAGACTTTTAATAATCAATATTGGTCGGAGGCCAGCGACTTTCCTTCAGAAGGCTGATTTTTGAGAGTTAGTTTTGAATCATCTATTATCTAACACATCCTGCACATCATGTCACAGGCAACAATCATCAGTGTAGTTATGTGGCAAATGGACAGTGTTGGCTGTACAACATGGGGATGGATGCACTGACTGTTCTTTGTTCTTTTAATGTGATGTTTTTATCTGGACAATAAAGTTTACCCTATCCTATTCCATTCTGATTGCAGTTTGTAATACTTATGCAAGTGTTGAAGCAGGTTTACTTGGATTATTCAGACACTACCAACTTAAGGAGTGGCCCTCGGGTTAGCCACGTAGGCAGGTAAGGAGACCTGTTAACGCCATTCTCAAACACTCTCATGTACATTCATTCACGCTCTCTTAAATTCCATGTGCACCTGCCCACATACATCTCTACACATTCTCTCACCCTCGCTCACAAGCACTCCCACACACACTTGCACGCTCGCTCTTGGATCCAAACAGTGTTGGAAGCGAACCGTAAAAGCGCATACACTTTCTCACACACAGCGTTGACGTAACTGAGCTTCATCAGCGCTGTAAAAGTGGCCCTGCAGAGGGTTTCTGACCTATGAAGGAGCGCCTTTTGGTGTTGAGTTCAGTGGCCATGCGGACGTTGGTGCACAGGTTCAGCATGATGAGCATGGTGGCGATCATGATGATGCTCTGCCACAGCAGCAGCGTCTCGAAGTAGCGGCCAAATCTGATGGAGAAAAACAAAAGAATGTGTGTGAAGATGCTGTGTAACTTGTAGCAGGTATGAAATCCAGTCAAAGCTTTGGCACGACCACGCTTTTCTAGTTCTCTTATAGTATCTCTGCTACGGCAAAGACACTCTCAGCAAAATGACGATACTGGTGCAGCAGCTTGCAAACCTCCAGGAAAATATCAAAGAGGAAAGCAATTTGTTTACACCAAAGTCTGCCAGGTACTTTGACAAAGTAAACTCTCTCAAAGTACTTGCCACATTAGATAAGTTGGCTAAACAATAGTTAAGTGAAAACAGCTAAGTGTAGGGTGGTAAAAGTAGCTGTAGTAGAATGCAGTTTGGTGTAAGAAAATGTACACTTTAGCAACAGATCTTCAAACCCCTTGTTTGTCAGGGCCTGTGCCTTTGCACACATGGTTAAGTACTGCAGTGGAGCCAATCCCAGCAGACATCAGGCGAAAGGCAGGGTACACCCTGGACAGGTTGCCAAGTTCACACATATACAAACGACCACTCACACCTAAGGGCAATTTAGAGTCACCAATTAACCTAGCCTGCATGCCTTTGGATGGTTAATCTGTTGGTCATAACTTCTGTCCACCACTTCAGCAGATGGCAGCAACAAATGAGAACCAACTTTGAAGTTACAATGTACTGGAAGCTCTTAAGATGATCTCTTAGCAGCCGAAATTCAGAGAATATCTCATCGAGTCTTGAAACACCCTAAGTCTTGTTCCATATGGCATATACTTTGGTTTATAAGCGAAAGAGTGTTAAATTGACCTAATTCTGAATGGGGGTTTGTGCCCATACAACAGAAACTGGTGTGGTGTGAGAGCAGACAGGGGATGATTTGTTACCTGAAGAGTATTCGTAGGATGTTTGCCACCAGGAGGACCAGGCACACATAGGTGGAGAACCCCTCTGCATTCTGGGTCCGGCGGATGTCTCTGTACTGGGGGATGTAGGGCACCACCCCACCGAACACCATGGCACCAGCGGCGACCCACGACACCAGCGAGTTGAACACGGCCACAATCTGGTCAAACATATCATCTTCCATGTTGGGCTGTGTGGGCAAGAAGTTGTGAAGCGACGTCAGCTGGTCGCCACTGGCTCTACGGAGACTGTTATAAGGTGCTTATCATCCACGGGGTCCTTGTAACGACTTTGAGCGTGTAAAAGGAGAAACACCCGTGTTTTCCGAGCATAGTCCCTACACGGATTACACAGACAAAGAAGCAGCTACTGCCACGCCAACACAAGCCGAGAAGTAAAACAGAAACGACGACAATTTCCGCTAACAGTTACTGTACTGACACAACAACACCGCTCACTGAAGGCAGCGGGGGTATTTGCAGTGGAGGAGGCGGATGTAACTGATAATCTGCTCAATATCAATACGTCCCATTTCTCTGCTTCAACACTAACGTTACAGTTGATGCTAGCTGGCGCTGCTTCAACCGCTGCACTTAACTCAGAAAAAGAAACTCCAAAAGGTTCCGGGAAATTGTAACGTTATAAAAGCCCTTGAAATGTGAAGGAAACTTGAAACGAATTAGTATATGTTTTCTTATATATAAGCTCCTTATAGGAAAATTTGTTTCATTGCTGACTGGCCCATATTCGGTGTAGTACTATGAAAGTACAGCCCATACTTCCTGAAACGTCACGGTTTAAGACAAAGATGTTCAACTCAATCAAGATAGTTCACACACTACCTTATACTGCCATGTTAGTGGTCAGCAGCTCTGCCCAGGGATTTGTATTTCTAAACGGGTATTGAATTATTGAATATGCTTAATTATTATTGTCTTTTTAGCAAGCTAATCTGTCAGCATCTCCTGAGTGCACTCCAGACATTTTGACTTGTCATGAGACAGCACAATAATATAGAGTCACAAATAAATTAACATTATAGCCATTTTATTGTTATTAGAGACATAGTAATGTGCTTTTCCTACTATAACATGTCAAAATGTCTGCACTGAAATAGGCCTCTCTCTGTATGAACTAAAACACTATCTAAGTGATGCAAAGTTAAAGCACATTTATAGATTTCCCAGTGACAGCGTTTTACTAAACTTAAAGGTGATACTTTCAAACAGCCTTCCTACAGACCATGGCTGGATTACCAAACAGGTAAAGTGGGTTTTTCTGGTCCATTTGCAGGTGATGTATAGTATTGAAGAGTAAAACCCATTAAAGAAGGGACCAAACCAAAAGTGAAGAATTTCACTCTGCCTGTTTTATGCCCTGACAGTACAGCTACAGCTACATCCTCTTAAATATTTCAGGTAACCTAGTTTATTTTAGTAGGCCTACTGTTTAGCATATCACACACGCTGCAGTCCAGATTAACAGGCCTTTCTAATTATGTTACACAGTATACATTTAATATATTCAGCTGCAGTGAATGTAGATAGTCATTGACACAAAATCCAGATTATAAAGATTTATAAGGGCTTACTGAAGTTATGTAAACCTCATGGCAGACAGCCTCTCTCATCTGTCACTATGATCCAGGATAATCTCTTATATAAAAATCAAAGCTTCAGTTTGGGGTGAGGGAATTGTTCATTCTCCTCTTCATCACACTAAACACTCAGTGGACAGAGTCGTACAGAGTAATTCCATTTACAAATGGTTAATAAAAATAATACATTTCCCATATCCAACCTTTTTATATACAGTCTATGTATCCAACCATGCATACAAATCACTCCGGACGTCAAAGTCAAGATGGGCAGCATAAAACCGGAAATGAAGTATAATTTAATTTCATAATAAAAGCCTAAAACGTGTCAGTTGTCAAAATGTGCCATGTGTTGTTGCAGAGGACGAATCATATAAGGTAACACGTTCCCCAGCCTTAACATAAGATTAAATTCAATATCACCAATCACAGATACACATTGAAATATAAAATGTTTATATCCAAACTGCATTTTATGGATCGAGATCCCTTTTCTGACATGCCATTGCTTTTGTCTGTGCTTGTGTGTGTGTGTGTGTATATCGTGATATATATATATATTTGTAGGTGTAAATGTATGAAAATGTAATAAATTAATATCAATTTTAATAACTCTTTTTGGAGGGGGAAGAGGTCAAATATCTTCATATCGTCAGCACACAATACTCTTCAAATAAATGTCTTCATTGTCTCTGAGATTTTACCGGATTTTACTGAGATTATTTTAGCAACGCCTCATGAAGTGATCTTTATTTTGAAAGGACAAACCACTGCAAGCGGAAGTCGTATTGTTTTCACTCTGTCGGTTCAATTTACCGCAAAGTTGTTGGAGTCACAGCAAACGTTTTTGTGGAAAACTGAGTTGGGATTGTTTTTTTTATCGTCGTTGTCACAGCCCAGTTTAACCAAACAAACATCTGTAGTCCGATTTTATGGGCAACGTTTAGATTCCAGGGAAATATCTGCGTGTTGTTGAAGAAACCATGTCAAACACAGACCGCAAAGCAGATAAAGATATGACAGAGGCGGTAAGTTTGTTTCATGTGAGCTATACGTGTCTTGTAAAATAGTTTCCTGACGGTTTTCTCTCCATTTTAGATGGAGAAAACGATGCAGAGACTTCAAGGAAGATTCCAGACAGTGTCTGAACAGCTGGAGTCTAAAAATATCCTTCTTACTGCTGTTCTTACTGCAACTATTTACAGCTGTTAACTTCACTTCTTGGCGTTTTAGGTGGAGCTCAGAAATGACGCAGCATTATTTTTGGGTACAGTAAGGTATGTGTAGACTCTGTGGTCTCGACTGGAAGCGACACACCTAAGGGTGCTAATGAAAGACGTGACGTGTCCTCCCTGTCAAAGGCAGTCGTGTGGTAACATGCACGGCCACTGGGGGGCGCTCAAATTTAGTTTAACGGGGATCGGATCAACCAGGGCCGTTAAATAAGGCCCTGGGATCAACTAGCAAAAGCCACAATATCTCAACCAGATTTTTGGAAACACTTGTTATTTATAGCCTGAGTATATTTTGTATATTAGATATACATTTGTCAAATGCAGCTTATATGAAAGTATATCAAATAAAAAATATTAATTAAAAAAAAAAAAAAAACTTTTATGAGGACAAGACTCCAAGGACAGTGACAGAACCTGAGAAAATAAAAAAAATAGGCCTTTTCCACAGCAGCCATTTTAAGTTGTAATCTTTATATACCGTCTATGGTTGTAATAGTAGGGGAAAGCATAGGTGTTTTTAAGCAACAGTAACATTTATTCATTTTTCAGACACTGTTCCATCATCATTTTATGATTTGCACCCGTGCTACAGCTACTGTCAAAATGTCTTTTGTGAAACAGGCCTAAAGTAGATTTAGTGTTGTGCTGTAATGTGGGCAACATGTACAGTTCCTGGCAGACTTTCCCTTCACTTTTCCCACTGGATGAGATGGGAGCCCGCATTGACGACCTTGAGAAGAACGTGGCCGAGCTCATGACGCAGGCTGGCATGGAGGAGCAGGCCGCTTCAAAGTGAGCTCTTGACATGTAACCTCCAAAAACGGAGGGGTTCCTATTGCTTTGCCAAAAGTGATTTCCCTTCACTGGTGACTACACGGTGTTCCACACATTCATCAAAAGTCTTGAAATAGGACTTCTAAGTCGATGTCAGTTGATATCACTTTAAGGTTTAGCCAAATGTACGTGTTATTCAAGGTGCTAACAAATCAATGTGTATCTCTCAGTAATAACACTAATTACAGGTTAAGGAGCCGTCAAACAATATGCTAACACATTATTTATTTTGGTAATAACAATTTTAATTGTTAGATTCCAATTGTTAGAATCAGATTACAACTGACCAATGAGCTTAAGGGTACCCTGCAGAGATTTATTGTATTTGTATATCTATAGTTTCAGTGTTTTCTAACATAAGCATATCTTGTTTTTACCCTAAAGGTGTAACAAACACAATGGATGCATTTACTACCTCATAAAATATTTGCAAAGACTTTTTTTTACATCTTGAAACCTGCATTGTATACATGTTATACATGGTCTTCTCCTCGTTACTGGCACATTTACCCCCACCAGTTATCCATATGTAAAGGCACATTATGTGGACGTGTGCCGTCATGGAAACTATGCGGTGACCTGCTTGTCAGAAGTGTAGGCTATAAAGGTCATAACAATGTTGCTCTACGGTGCCTCTAGTGGTCAAACACTTAATAGGCGACCCTTAAACATGGAGGAAGGCCGAGAGGGTTGGGAAGGCCAGATTTCAATCTTGCCACCAAAGAAAAGTTCTGCATGCTATGTGAGGCAGTCCATAGCAAAACTAAGACAGTTGAGCTACAGTGTTGCTTGAAGTATTATTCTGATGCACTCTAAAGCAAAAACACAACATTTAACACGGGTATCTTTAAAAAAAACAAACTATCAAAATAGGTGTGTATAGAATAAATTTTTAGTCCTTGTAGACACAGCGGAAAATTTATATCATGACTTCTGTATCCGACCCAGCAGTTGGTTTTGCTCAGATCAACATCTTGAGGTTGTCTATATATTAAACAGCACTATATGTCACTTACAATACACACTGTGGCATCTAATGATTCATGACTGTATTGGAAGAAAATCTATTTTTGGGAAATGTCTTGACTTACAGTGAGTTCACAGAATAGCCCACACTGTGAACGACAAACTGCCCTTTGATTGGTTTAAACTGCTGCCTGAAGGTTGTAAATGATTTGTTCAAAGAGATGCAGCTCACCATATCTGGTTTTGTATCAATTGCACTGCAGCAATCTAAATAGTACTGCTTTCCATAGTGAGTTATCCAGTGGCCTTAAAACTGTGTGTGGTGGAAGTGGGGACTGTCACCGGTAGGTAGGCATACTGCTAACAGAGACAAATGTATATGCAAATTGATGGATGGACTATTGTTTTATTGATGACTTTAAATTAGCTATATTTCTGGGAGAACAGACTGTTTATCACATCTATGCAATTTATTTCTGAGCATAATATTATATCATGTAATGTTTGTAACTGTATCACGTGTCTTTTCACCCTAAAGTTTAATGCACATCAACTTAGCGGTTAGTAGATACTGCATCACTGTGCACCAAAGTTAACATGATACGGCCAAATAAAGTTTTTTAAAAACAATTTCACGAGTCAATTCTTAAAATGAAATAAAAAGATCAGAGTAGCTGTGTTTTGTTTTTTTAAATCACTTATTTATTGCGGTTGTTTCGGTTTGTTGTTTTATTTGAAAAAACGCTGTCTTAGTCAGTCTCAGTTGAACTCAGTCATTGAACAAAACATTACAGCCTGTTTTACCCACAATGCTTAGGACCTTGTAAAGTCTGTCTGCCATAAGGTAGAGATGAGGGGAACCTGTCAAGTAAATGAACATTTTAATGCGCTCAGTATGTGCTGGTTGAATCTTCAAACTGAAGATCTGCTTTCCATCAGTGAGATATTCTTCCTCTAACAAACAGAACATGTTATTCATGAAAAATGAGACCATAACCTTAGGTTATTGGTTGGACCTTCCACTGATAGAAACAGAATATTGAATTGATCATTTTATTAGCCTTTTCAAGTTTTGGGGGTTTTCTAAGTATTTCAGATGTTTTAATGGACTTTAAAAAAAAAAATGTTTTCATCTTGAGAAAACCCGC